TGAGAGAGAAATATCAGTCAGTGGCCTCCTGTATGTGCCCCGACTGGGGACCAAACCCACAACCCAGGCATGTGCCCTGACCAGGGATCAAACCCAAACTGGGGACCTTTCACTTTGCGGGACAATGTCCAACCCATGGAGCCACACCAGTCAGGGCACCTTTCCTTCATCATTAGCTTATGCACAGAATTTTTTTTTAATTGAAGAATTTCTTTTGAATTGAATTAAAAGCCAACCATACAGGCCCTTGGGTAGGCCCTACGGAGAACAGAAAGACAAATACAACTTGATTTCAACCTTCAGAAAACTGAGAATTTGGAGGGAGAGGTGACACTCGGACCGACACAGCGCCGAGTTGAATATGATGCAGTTAAAGGAAAGGGGAACACAGTGCTGGGGGAGCAGGCAGGACGGAAGACTCCCGTCTGGTGGGTGGAGCAGGGCCCACCAGTGGGGCCTGCAGAGCAGGGAGAGCATCCACCAGTCAATCAGGCAGCAGAGCCGTTCCTCAGAAGGGGGAGCCAATGAGGCAAGAACTGAGGAAGAACAGGGCCTGCCTCACGCAGGCAGAATGAGCTAGAAAGGGAGATGAGAGGAGGAATGAATGATGAGGGTGGACAGAGATGGGGACACGTCCCTGAGTGCTCTGAAGGAAGCGCGGTAGTCTGACCAAAACCGCTCAGACAAAGGTGATGGTCATGAGGAAGCAGGCACAAGCCAACCCCAACGCATGCCAGTGAAACTGCCAGCACGGTGGGAATTTGGGGTGTGAGCGAGGCCTGGGCCAGTGCCTTGCTGGGAGTGAGGGCTGGCACAAGGCCATGGAGGGTCGGTGACTTTGCTCTGCATGCCCCTTCCCTCCGGAAGGCATGCGGTGTGCACCTCTGCCGTAAATCTTGCCCTGAGTACTATCTGGAGACAGGGCTCCATCGGGGGACAGCTGCAGGACTAATTTTAGGCCTGTGCTTGGGAAGTGGGGCAGGCCTAATCTCCAGGGCAGGGCGGAAACAGTGACACACACTGGGCATCGCTTCCTACACACATGTCCTGGGAAAACGCCTGCAGCCTGCTGCCCTCTGAGGGCAGTACTCCGGAGGGCTACCCGTGGCTCCTGACATGGGACTGCATCCCCTTCCCAGAGACCCTTCAAACCCACTGGGTCCAGCACCCAGGTGGAGCTCAGGAGAAGCCCCTGGGTGCATCTTAGTTATTCCTCAGGGGTGGGGTTCAGGGGAGAAGGTGAGCACTGACCTAAATGTCCCATCTTCACATTCTCCCCAGCTCTGCTGCCGCATCTGAAGCAGTCAGCCAAGGCTCTAGTAGTATTTGTACGAAGAGCAATTAATGGTATTATGCACATCAATGGTCACAACATTTTACGACTTGTTCCTTAACACCCGCAACCAACCTGGGAGTTAGGACATGCTATTCCTACTTTGAGGGTGAGCTAGAAAGACTGCTACAGTACGGGTCTTCTGATTTTTAACCCCTTTGTTCATATCTTGCTATTGGGGGTTGAGGGTAAGGTTGAAAACAAGGCAGCTCTGGGAGAGAATTCAAAAGCAGAGGACAACGCATTTCAGACTTTGAGAGGAAATAGCCATTTGGTTGAGCAGAAAGGCTCTTCTATCATTAAGCAAATTGCTCCAGGAATATGAGCCACGTAGACAGCAACAGAAATTTACACAAACTTTAACAGTTTATGATTGTCTTACATACGGTGGTTTAGAAATAAAATGCTGGAAATAGACTGTGTAAGACACTCAGGTGGTAGTTTAAGAGCTAAGGCTCCTGTATCAGACAGGGTTTAAATTCCAGTGCTTTTTCTTAAATCCTAGCATGTTACTTAACCCTTCTTTCACCTTCAATTTTTTTTTCCCTGTACAACTGGGGACAGTAATAGTACGTGCCTTGCAGAGTAGAGAATCAAATGAGACAGAGCAAGCTAAGAGTTTAGCACCAGGCAGGGCACATATAAATGCCAGAGCAATGACGGCTCCATTGTAATGGGTGGTGACAAACCTGCCTTCCACAGGGGTTTTGTTTTAGTTTGTCATCTGCGTCAGGAAGGGGAAGCTACCCCCACCCCTGGTACTGGCAACCACTGATCTGTTCTCTGCCACGGCAAACTACCTTTGCCTGATCTAGAACTTCACCCAAATGGAAACGTAAAATATGCATATGCTTCTGTATCTTGCTTCCATCCACCCAGAATAGCATTTTAGGGATCCATCTATATTGTTGCTCATGTCAATGACTTATCCTTTTTATTGCTGATCAGTTTTTACTTTATAGTTACACCACAGTTTGTTTATCCACTCATCTGCTGATGAACATTGAGGCTGTTTCCAGTTGCTTTTAATATTAGAAATAAAGCTTTTATGAACTTTTTTTTTAAAAAGAGGGGGGTGGGGATCATGATACCCAAATTTTACAGAAAAAAAATAGGCCTGAGGTTCCTGAAGGTGCCTTTTGTCACTGGAAACATCCCTGGTATCACTTTCCCACCTTCCCAAGGCCCCTGGGTCACATCTGTGGGTGAATTCAACCCCCTTGCCAAAGAGGAAGAGCAATAAAGTGACAAGCTTGACTCTCTGAGAAGGGGACTTCTGTGCTTTGTCGCTTACTCCCGTCTGCTGCCTGAATGGAGAAGAAAATGGGGATGAAAAAGGGGCCATGTATTGCCCCTGACAGCTTCACTGGAGGCCTGTGTGGCAGCCCTACGAACTCAGAGACCAAAAGCAACCGCTCAGCATCCTGAACATGAAAATCCCTAACGAATGCGAGGCACCGCAGGCAGTCAAGTCCTCAGCCTGTAGCTTCCTGGGCAGAGGTCAATCTTTACCTTAAGTGAGCCTGTCCATTGTCTTTTTGCCCCTACAATAACACACTTTTGAAATGTCAGAGGACTCCCCTTTTCCAGACCCCTCAGAGCCCAGTCTCCCACCAGAATACGAGGCAACAGAGCTCCTCCTGGTTATCTTGCTCCCCACATGCCTCCTCTATGTGCTGTAGACATTACTGTTCACCATCCTGCACCCACCAACGTAAAAGAAGTATGTGTGTCTGTTTAACTTTCTATCCAATCCCAGAGATTTCCCTGATCTGCTCTCTCCCACCCCCTAACCTAACACCAGTGGATTTCATGTAACCCTCCCTCTGTCTCCTTTCATTCTCCTATAAAAAATAAGTTGCAAATTGCCATTCTCTGGGGCATGTTCTCAATCCATTGAGATTCTGCTTCCTGGTAACTGTTGTCAGTTTAGCCCAAATAAACTCGTAAAAGTGTTCTATAGGCTCGGACATCTCTTATGTGGATGACAATACACGATGACAGGGACCTAGAAGGAAGGGGCCTGGTGCCAAGCTTAGCCGGGAAGAGCTTCCTGGAGAACACAGCGCCTAAGCGGGAAGAGAAGAGGTGACTCAACAAGACATGCACAGGGATGGGCCCAGCAGACACCCTGCAGATTTTTCACATAATGTAGGGGAAGCAACCACACATTCCCGAGCTGCCGAACAGATGAATGGAAAGAGCAGCAGGTCAGAAGAGGCCATGGGCATAGGGTTAAAGGTTCATGGACTGGTGGCCAAGGGACAGGTGAAGACTGCAGAGGTTAGCAGTAAAAACTCATGTACGATAAAAACCAGACGTATCCAGAGCCAAGTAAGACCCCTCCCCAGGAACAAAGATGAACATTAAAGATGGAAATGACATACAATAAGAGGACAGTCACAAGTTATTTTTTCTTGTTGTTACTGAGTTTGTGACCCTGAAGTGTTGTCCCAACTAGATGAGGATGACTTGGTGGAATTTAGTGGAATCCCATTTTGCAAGACATTTGCACTTCGATGGGAGGTTTCTAAAGTGAGGTACGTAGAACTCTGACTCCCAAGAAAAGGTAGCTTCCAGACAAAAATAGTTCCCTAGCCAAATCAGTTTTAGAACAGGGCACACTACAGACCCCCCCTCAGATATTCTGAGTGTGCACTGGCTTGACAAGGGCTTTGAGAAGTCTTACAGCAAAGAAATTGACCAAACTTTGTCTTACCCAGTACTTCTCAATACATTTGATGAGGATTTTTTTTTTCCTGAGCTATAATGTATTTCACTCTAGGAAATGCTGCTGTAGAGAGCTGCAGGTGAGAATGGATGATAATGGCATTACTGTGGTGACCCCAAGAGAAAAATATTCCGGTGGAACAGGAGCCTAAGATTGATGCTGGGTTGCGGAGAATATCATAGCTGGGCATGGAAATGCTACTTTGTCGAGCAACCCCATACATCTTGAAAATTGGCTGAATCGTTTCTAATATTCTTTCAAGGTCCTTGCTGAGTCACTCCCAGAAATGATGGCTCTTAATGGTTCCAAATATCTCTAACACCTTCATGTCTAACCATCTCCCTTTTTAAGTCGGTGATTCACTCCACTCTAGCATGCCAGAGAGAATGGTAGAGTTTCATTTTCCAATCATAAAACACATCTGAAAACCAGCCCACAACCGTGATGGACAACTCTAAGGCCCAGAAATTTAACTGGCTGGCCCCTGAGGAATGTCACCTTTCCCTATCATTTCTGGGCCGTCTTTTAAGCACTACACTCTATGGCAGAGCTCTGTGAGTAAAGAACCAAAGTCTTCAGGCAGGAAACCTAGGCTTTGAAGTCAGAAAGATCCGGATAAAAACCCCAGCTCTGCCTTTCGTAGCATTGTGACTGTGGAGGAGGCTCTTCCCACATTTTCATTTACTCGTGTGAAAATGAGAGTAACAACATGCCCGCTCAGGGTTGTTGGGAGGATTAGAAGAAGTGACACGTGGGTGGGGGAGTGCAACTTGCGATCGATGAAACAGAGTCACTGTACAACTTCTACGAGGTGGAGAAGTCATCACCCAAGAGCGCCGGAAGCACCGCGAGCACATACTTGAGGCCACCCCACCATCTCTATCTCCGCGACCATCACCCACAAACCGCAAAAGTGCTCACTGAAGCGCTCTGTACCTGATTATCCGAGTATGCTTCCTGGTGTAAGGGGCGATGACCTTGAAAAGCAGCTCCATTGCCCCGTTAATTCCCAGCATGGCTCCCGTGGTGACTGGGGAGGACAAAAGCACAGTGGTTACTGAGCTATCTGACCCAGGCATTATTCTCAGCTTGACGGAGTGAACCTAAGAGACAGGGGAGGTGCATCACCTTCCTGAACAAAGGCGGCTTAAAAGCAGAGAAACTCTTTGGTTTTTTCATCCCTGGCCGGAAGTAAAGATCACTTACACAGCCCACATTATCTTCTCACACTGTCTTCTCCCCAAAGGGGGTCCAAGCCATCACATTATATTTCTCATTCTCTGATGGTCCCTTGCACTTCCCCACTGTATTCTGAATCAGCGTAGTCAAGGCAATTGCGGAACAGAAGATTTTTCTGTAAGCAGATCTTTGGGTTTCTGGCAATGACTTCAGTTCAAGTTGTTTCACCACCCACCAACTTCCCATAAGATACGTGCATGCACGCACGCACACAGGTATGCACACATACATGCACACGGGTATGCATACTCAAATGTCACCCCAGTGACTTGGACACAAACTCTTTGGATGTCGCTTTCACCCCCAATGATTCCCTAGTCTCCCTGCAACATTCCCAGTACTCCATACCACTTAGCTTACTTTAGGAGGGCTCTGGTCATATCAAAAAATTTTTTAAAAAAAGGGAATCTACAGGATACAAAATTGAATTGGTTTGGCAGGAAACAAAAGTTTCAGTGGGAGAAAGAAAGAAGGTTATCTTCTAAGGTATGACTCTGTTTTCTCTTTCCTCCACTGCACTGGTCTGGTAACACAGAGCCAGCCTTGTTCCAAGGAATACAAGTAGGAACAAGGGGTCGTCGAGAGCCAGAGAGAACAAGGGAGGCTTATACTGGCTTGCTCCAAGCCTCGGGAAAGGTGGAAATTTGAAGGCTCTAACGAAAATCATCTCAGAGAGAGACTGAGGCTGATGTCTCGGCTCTAAGGAACATGTGTTCTGGGCACGTCCTCCATGCACACACCCCTCTCGAGGCTGGTGCAGGCGGCGACTGCCTGATTCAGAACTCAGGGACTGAACATCTCCGTCCTGCCTGTCTGTCTTCTATTCTCACAGCAACCATTTCAAAATCAGAAAAACGTGCTAGAGCAACCTCTTGGCAAAGAATTCAGTAACATGCTAGTATTAAGCAGAGTGAAGGAGGAGAAGAGTGTTAAGAGCAGAACTTCTGACATAGAAGACATCACACTTGGAATTGGGGGAGGATAACAATAAGAAATCTTCACTGAGCTCCTCCACATTGGACCCCTGCCCAAGGTTAGACCTCTATAAATATCCCCATTGGCCGTCTGAGAGCTGCCAAGGGCTTCATTGGCTGTCACAGACCCGTTCTGCTTCCAGCCAATTATTTCCACAGATAGGAGCCGTTTAGAAAGCTTGCTGGAACATTCAACAGTGGCTAACGATTCACCAAAGAGACAGCCATCAGTAGGCTTTATGAAGTCTGCTTGCCTCTCAACCATAAAGTCAATGTATAAAGACTGGTAGTATCGTTTTTAAAATATTTGATGAAATAGTTCGTTGGGACAGTACATGCAGTCTTACAAAATGAGACGAGTGGCCACCTCCTCACACCCACAGGCAAATCGCAGCATTTGTCAGAGCTCCCTGCTCAAGGGCTTCTTCCAGATCTCTACAACCAGCACGTGTAATAAGGAAGATAAGCCATTCAGCCTAATTATTCCTTAGGAAAACAAAGTGGGGTGCTTGAAATCGTTGTTGGCAAGCTTCAAGTTGGGGAGGCACCCCTTCTGGCTACACATTAGTGAGAGATGTCCTTTCTTCTAACCCACAGCTCCTCGCTGCCATTTTCCTTCATTAGAGATGGGTTTGCACAGATCGTTCAGCCCATCCCAAATATTCTGACTTTCTGCATGTATGAGTGAAACACACATATAAGTGAGACATGTGCATCAAAGTGGAAGTTCTGTCGGTGAACATGGAGTCAAGAATCTATCTCATTAATTATATGAAATGTTAAAGGGACTTATCTAAGAAAAAGATTAAAAAGCATGTACAGTAAAATAACAGCAAACTCACAATTATTAACAACCACACCTAAAACAAGAACAAAAACAAACTAAGCAAACAACTAGAACAGGAACAGAACCACAGAAATGAAGATCACATGAAGGGTTTATGAACAGGGGAGTGTGAGGGGGAAAAGGGGGGAAAAGATACAGAGAATAAGTAGCATAGATGGTAGGTAGAAAACAGACAGGGGGAGGGTAAGAACAGTATGGGAAATGTAGAAGCCAAAGAACTTATAAGTATGACACATGGACATGAACTGAAGTGGGAGGAATGTGGGTGGGAGAGGGTGTGCAGGGTGGAGGGGAATGAAGGGGGGGAAATGGGACAACTGTAATAGCATAATCAATAAACTATATTGAAAAAAACAGCTATATTACTCTGGAAAAAAAAGAATCTATCTCATTAGTCCCTAGAAATATTTTCTCATCATGGGTTCTCCATGCTTATTAATAGAATTAACAGATAAAATAGGTACCTACTATTTTAGTAGTTCTGAGCACAGTCAGGGAAAAAAGACACCCACTGTACTCCCCATGTGTGTATTCTTCCTATTATTTCAAAGGACTAAGAAAAGAATAGGGCAGCCCTGGCTGGTGTAGCTCAGTGGATTGAGCACGGGCCTGCAAACCAAGGGATCTCGGTTTGATTCCTAGTCAGAGCACAGGCGTGGGTTGCAGGCCAGTTCCCAGCGGGGGATGCACAAAAGGCAACCATACATTGATATTTCTCTCCCTCTCTCCTTCCCTTTCTCTCTAAAGATAAATAAATAAAATCTTTAAAAAAAAAAAGAATAGGGCAAAGAAGGGAAACTAATACTTCCTGAGCAACTACTATGTGACAAGCGTACCTGTGAACATTATCTCACTCATCCCACCTACCAAGTCTGTGAGCTCCTATTACTACTATACTTTTGCAGAAGAAGAACGCGTCGGGCTGAACCTGTTAAGTGCCCGTGTCGTATCACTCTTAGGCGATGAAATCAGAGTCAGACAGAGGTCTTCCTGGATCTAAGCCCATGATCCTTCCTCTAGAGAGCATTACATCTAAATAATTGTCCCTTTCCTTCTGCAGGAAAGGGGCTTAGAAAGGTGAAATAAAAGTCTGCGGTCGTTATATGTGAGATAGGAGGTAGAGTGTCTAATCTATTGATAAGAACTGTCTCCACATGGAGAGTAGAATAAACGTAAGTTTGGAGTCAGAAACTCAGCCGCTATGACTTATCTGTATAAACTCAAGCAACCGCTTCGCTCTTCTCAGCCTCATTGTTTTTCTTGGCCGCAGAATGGTAAGGCTAAATATAGGACTGTTATGACGATCAGAAATAATCCAAATCAGCGGATGGCGTATAAGGATGTTTCATGGGCGGTGATATATCTAGTTACCTTAAGGACTATGTTGAGATGCATCAGGAGATGAAAGTTGGTAAAGGATATTGTGATCCCTGAATAACCTCAGGGATGTGGTGGGGAGACTTGTGATGGGAGGATCATTCTTGACAGGTGCGCGGCATGGCGCTGTGCCTTGCATATGAGAAGGATTGAATAAAGCCTGCCCTCTCCTGCCATGGGTCTTCTTCACCTTGTAGTACTACTACCAGAGAGGCCTGGGGTGCTTATTAGGCGTGGTTCACAAGGGAAAGCATACTGACATCTACAGGCCCAAGAGCTCTACCTGGCTGTAGAGGAGATGAAGAAAAAAATTTCTTGCCACCAGAACATGAGGTTCCTCATGGTTAATCTTTTTGGGACCACATATGTTCTCTACCCACACCCTCCCTCCAACCATACCCCCAAGTCACTTCCAAGTGTCCTGGTCCAGGTTCAGAACCTACCCTCCCACCCCGCTGCCAGGAGACCACAGTTGAGTCACTTACCACTAGAGGCAAACACACGCAGAGCCCAGAGACAGTGGAGGAGGTTCTGGCTGTGGGACAGGTTTTTCCTGGTCAGAATCAATGTCACATCCAGTGCTTCCAATTCCAGTGCCTTCTGCCCAAACTTTTTATCTGTGAATACAAATCAGTCCATCTTAGTTGTGCCACACATTAATTCTGAAGGTTGTACGATGTGTGGGGGGACAGAAAAGCAAAGATGATAATAGAAAGAAGATAATCATAGCCAATGAGCCTTCTCAGATCTAGCAAAATGCTACTAAGTATGTCCCCACTGGAATCAGGTGGCTCAGAAAAGCTAGTTCAGGATACACACACGGTCCATTATTCAATTAATATTTACATGAAGTTTTGTGGGTTGTCTGACTCCCAACCCTTTTATGAAGGATGTTTCTGGCTGTCCTCAGGCATGAATGAGTCTAGTAGGGTATAAACACCTTCCTTTAAGACACTTCTAGAGCTCGGATACTTAAATTACATGACATTTAAATACATGGACCGACATTGGATTCTTCCTTGAACATTTCTGTGAAAGACATTGTTGGGAACAGTTGGAGAAACTGAAATGAGTGTGAATTATTCATTCATTGCTAATTTTGTTAGATTTGAAATCGTGGTGTTGTGAATACATAGGGAAATGTCTTTTTTCAAAGAAATGCACTTGCAAAATATTTAGGAGCAAAATGCTATCCATAATTTTCCCTAAAATATTTCAAATAAAAATAAATAATGAAAATATGACAAAATGTTAACAGTGGTTAGATCTAAGTAATAGGTAGATGAGGTCATCTTTCTACATGATAAATTTTACAATAAAAAGTGAGAACAAAATTCTAAGGAAATAACATACAGCCCAAACTTCTCTAAATTATTGATCTACATAACCTGATATTTAGTGCTGCAAGCCAGGCACCATTATTTTAGCAATTAGTGAATAAGAACAGAAATAAAGGGAAAGGCCCTCTTATTCTACAATATGTGCCTGGCCCTCACATTGGTTGATGTCCTTTCCAAACTGCAAGGCACAAATTGTCATACCCGTTTTTGCGAGAATACATATCGCTGTCAGATTCATCACAAGTGAAAATGCATAAAATTGAGAAATAGCCTACAGCTGGTTTACGGACATCTAGCTCTGGACCACAGGACAACAGCAAAAGGATCCAGACCAAACTCATCGGACCCACCCCCCGCACCAGAGAAAGAGACTTATCAGGCCCCCTCATGAGTACACAACCTCCTGTCTGCTTGGGCCCTGTGGGTCAGGCCCCGGCAACTTTATTGTCAATGCCAAAGGCTACACTTTCCTGGTGACAAAAGCTGTGTTGATGTGATTTTGAGAATAGTGACATCAAGCTCTATCGTGGGAAAACCACGGCCTTGCGTCTCTCCTCTTTTTCCCTGTGACACCTACGTGACTCATTTGCCAGGCCTCTTCACCCACATGCTCGACATGCTACATACGAAGCCTCTCTCAGCCTTAACGGCAACCCTAGAATTAAGTACAGATGCCTTCACTTTGTAGATGAGGACCCCACGGCTCAGAAAGTTTAAGTAACTGTCCAAGGTCACACAGTGGCTAAGTTTCAGGGCCAGATATGAAGCCCAGATCTGACCTCCTAGCTTATGTTATTTACGATGAGGGTATACAGTGAGTCTTTGCGGTGTTTTCCAAGAGTTCACTTGGCCCACCCTGCTTTACTGACTTCTCATCCCTCAAGTTTGTGCTCCAATGTCACCATTCCCCAGCCACACCTCATAGGGTCACATCACCCTTTTCCCTTACAGCTGTCAGCTGGTCAATTCTTGTTTACTTTCTACCTTCCCTTAGTTGAACATAAGCTCCGTGAGAGAGGGCCCCCTATCTGTCTTGGCTACTGTGGGGTTCCTGCCATCCCCCACAGGTGTCTAGGACCTTCCTCCCTACCCTTTCCCACAAGAGCTTCCCAAACTCTCACAGGAACAGCAGAAAGTGCTGTTCTGCCACTGTCAGGTCTGGGGGTGCAGGTACCTCGCAGGCCGACTTTGGCCAGCAGTCGGAGGAGGGGCAGGAGGATGTCATAGTCTGGAGACGCTGTCCTTGCTGTGTTCACCAGGGTCTGCAGAAGGGCTTCGCTGCCCCCCTTGCTGATCATGTAGTGAATCCTCCTGTCTGTGCCTATGGGGAAAGCAGGGGAGGGCTGAGCCATCCAAAATCACTCTCATCTCCCTGGAGCTAGAAGCAGAGCAAGGATTAATTCATTATACCCCAAACACCAAAACTGTGTAGTTCTTGAATCAACTTGTGTTAGAGTTATGGGCCTGGGTGGGGGAGGATGGGATACAGAAATAGTAGAATACTTAAGTACCTAGGTATTGACCAGTAGCACCTGTAAGAAAGGAAGCCTAGAATTCACTTTCCTAAGGATCTATAGAGTCGTCAATGTACGTCTGCATTTGTGTCTACGTGTATATAGACATGCATACAGGTTTATGCATAATCATATACTTTAACAGAAGAAATACAGCATCTCCCTGCTGTAATTTGAATTATCTGGAACAGGGATTGCGATGACAGCTTATCTAGAACATTATTGGTGCTGTAACAGTTTGGTAACTGATGACAGGAAAAGATGGTAACGACCGGAGTAATCCTTTGAGAGACAAATGTCCAATTATCTCATCAAAGTCTGGGGCTTGGATGAAATATATTGATCTTTGTATCCAAGAAGAGTTTTGAACAGGGACCCCTGTTCCAACACACACACACACACACACACAGTGTCCCAGGAGAAGCTCGAAAGCAGTGGTTACATTTCAAGTTGGAAGGGGTCCTGGGTGATTCTCTATGCACTGGGCATGGTCGCCCCAACGGAGGTGGCCCACAGAGTGGGAAATTACCAACAAAGAAGACCATTTGGTTTTTCACCCTAATGAAAACCAGCCCCCTCTAGTAATGGAACAATACTCAGTGCCTGGATCCGAAGAACTCCAAGGTTTCATTCTAAGAATTCCAGATCCCACCAGACCACTTAATGGCAGCACTATCCCAAAAGACAGGAGGGCACCTCACTCAGAAGACTGCAGGGAAGACACCCCGCCACTGGAGGGCAGCACACACGGAGGACAGCACACACTATGGGAACACCTCCCTATAAATGAATCCTTCCCCCTGGAACCGCAGCCTGAGGCTCTGAGGCTTTAGAGTGCTGTTCATTTGGGGATGGGTGTTTGGTGTTGGTATTTCTTCCTAATGCAATGCAGCTGGCATACAGAGAACGGAAACTGAGTGACTGTTGGAACGTCCAAAAAGCTGTGTTTTCCAGGACTCTCACATGGACATGAGCTCATACAGGCCTGCCCCAGTTAACTCAGTTGATTCTAATGTAGCCGACTCTGTCATCTTATCTCTGAAAACTTGAGGGCTTCTACCTCATGTTTCTATCTCCAGTGACACACGTAGAAGCTGCCAATACCCTCTCTAAAACGGGCCACAGTGAGGGAAGCAGTGGGAAGAGAGAGGTCAAGCTGCTGAGGGCTGAGAAGAGCCACAGACGCCCAGAGGTCCTCAGCCTCAGACAGGAGATGCCATAGAATAACCACCCAGAGTCTAATTTCCTCCTACATTTGGGTCACCGTAGGGTGAGTGACAAGACTGAAGAGCTCGCCCGCCCTGTTTACACCAGCACTTATCAACCTCAGTGAAAAAGAAACACAGGTGGGTGATTCTGTCTCAGAGAAAAACTTGAACAAAACCCCAGGCCACCAAGATTCCTGGGCTGCACCACGCCCCCCATACCCACCACAAGAGGGAAAACGGCATGGCCTACTCACCCACAGAGAGCAGGTCTCCGAGCACCTGGAGGATGGTCAGGATGGATGCCCTGTCAGAGGAGCTCTGCAAGGAGAACACACGCGGCTTTCATCCAAAATACAGAAGGAGAGAGGCAGCATAGTCAGGGGTGCACATTGAAATGACAGGACTGTGCACTCCCTTCCATTGAGGACTTCTTGTAACAATAAATGCCTGAAGGGAGGCCCTGGCTGGGTAGCTCAGTTGGTTGCAGCACCACCCCAAGGTGCCAAGGTGGCAGGTTCCACCTCAGGGCGTATACCAGAAGCAACCAATGAATGCACAACCAAGTGAAACAAGATCAATGTTTCTCTCCCTAAAATAAATAAATAAATTTTTTTGAAGAAAATATCTGGAAGGGCACTCCCTAAACAATGTCAGTGAGGGAGCTTACTGTGATGAGGGTCCCAGGCACTCTGCCTCCTTATTTTACCATAAGTGCTCCATCCCAAGGACCCATTCTGTAGTAGTCAGATGGGCAAAAGAATAAGCATTGATGATTTACGCGGAAACAGCAAAGGAAAGAGGGCTTTTTGGGGTGAAGGCAGCACAGTTCTATTATCTTAGTAGGCTCAGGGGTGTCCAACTTTTTGGCACATCTGGGCCACACTGGAAGAAGAGCTACTATGGGTCATACATTAAATACATTACAACATGTAATCACAAAAAACTCTCGTAATATTTTAAATAAATGTATGATTTTATTTGGGGCTGCATTCATAGCCATCTTGGGCCACACACAGTCCACAGGCTGCAGGCTGGAAAACTCCGGTTTAGATTGTTTTTAAGTGCAGGGCAGAGAGCAGAAACTGAAATGCAATAAAGTGTTATGATGGAAAAACATCCCCAACTGATAAGGAAGACTTTTTATTTTGTCAAGAGTAACCTAGGGAAGTACCAAATCTCATTATGTAGTTATTCTATGAGATTCTTGCAAAATAGAAGTGATATCACACAGTATTCATCTTTCTCTGTCTGACTTATCTCACTTAGCATAATGCCTTCAAGTCCCATTCACATTGTCACAAATGGCAGGATTTCCTTCTTTCTCGTGGCTCAATGATAGTCCAGACTGTGTGTGTGTGCACATGTGTGTTTGTTATCCACTCATGAAGGGTTTGTTCCTCCAAGACTGCAACCCCTGCCCCCAAACTGCAGACTCCAGTCACAACTCCAAGTTAACTGTACTTCCGACCAGCTGGCTACCAATGGAAGGCTCTCACAGCATCCTCATCAGGTACCAGTACTTCATTTGAGCAGCTTGCGGAACCCAGAGAAACATGTAACTCAGGAAACGGCAGGCAAAGAGGTGCACAGGGCAGGGTTGGTGTGAAGCCCTCCCAAGCACAGCACCGTCCCCACAGCTCCAGCTGTTCACCCACCCAGAAGCTCTCTGAACCCTGACCTTTGGGGTTTCTGAGGAGGTTTCATTACAGTAGCCTTCCTTAACCATGGGGGGATATGTCTCAAGACCCCCAGTGGATGCCTAAAATTGCGCATAGCACCAAACCATGTATAAACTACTTTTTCTATACATGCATACTTGTGGTAAAGTTCAATGTATAAATTAAGCACAGTAAGAAATTAACAATAATAAAACAAGACATTGTATAATAAGTTATGCTAATGTACTCTCTCTCAAAATATCTTATTTCAGCTACAGAAGACTCGTTCTTACATAGATCTTAGCAACCTCAGCATACAATTTTTTTTTTTCTGTCGCTATTACATTGAGCACTTTTACCTTTTCACTTAAAGGAAGCTCTTTCCAACTTGCCTTCCATATACTGGTTCGGGCAACAACACCACTTTTGTGCTTTGAGGCTATTATTAAGTAAAAATAATTATTACTTGAACACGAGGGGGCTCTTACGTGACGCAGGGCCAGGAAGTGTCTCGAGCAGACGTGTACGGCGTGGAGACGCTCGATAACAGGAACGTCACAGGCGACGTAGTGGATCTCGCGAGATCTTACACTACTCAAAATGGCGCGCAGCTTAAAACTTACGATTTTTTCTTTCTTTACTTCTGGAGTTTTACATTTAATATTTTCAAACCGGGGTTGGCTGTGGGTAACTTAAATCGCAGAAAGCAAACCAGAGAATAAGGGGACACAACTCTACATAGTCAGAGAATTCAACCTGGGGGGCCGTGCGGGGAAGGGTGGGTGCCCTTCCCACCCTTTGGAAGATCCAAAGACTGCCCACGGTAGGACATGAAGTCCTTGCAATGGTGTCTGTGAGTAACAGAAACGCTGATGTTTCTAGGTCCGCCTCCAGCACCCCCAATAATTGCACTTCTTTCTGAGGGGAGGAGGTAAAAGGTAAAAGCAAGTCTGTGCCAAGTTGTATAGCTTGTAAAAAACCAGATTCATTAGTTAATGAATATAATGTATCAGTTAACTGGGAATTATGAGCAAAGAAAAGGAAAAGAAGAAAGGAAATGGAGAGATGAGAAAAAAGAGAAAAACTAATAAGGTAGAAACTGATTAAAGAGGAGAAAAAGACCCAGCTTTAATTTCCTTTCATTAATTATTCATGCGTTCATCTCACAAACGTGCATTGGAAACCATTTATTTATGTTCCAGTCACCAGGTTAGGCAGCAAAGGCACAAATTGATTGAAACCCAAGCTGCCTTCATAGGTGAGCAGCCAGTGGATGACGAGGACCCCAGACAGTAAGGGCTGGGACAAAGGTAACCATCAATGCTGGTAGGATGCTGGAAGAAGAAGCATTTAACCCAGTCAGGTCTGCCAGCAAAGAATCTGAGGAACCATGCAGAAATAAGTTTTGGGGAAGTGTTCTAGCTAGGCCATTGCACTGTGTGCAAAGCATGATAGAGCTTGGTGACCCTGGGGGTCAAATTGCTCCCAGAGTGACCAGATGCAATAAAGCAGTTAGTTGGTAAAGGGAATTGCGACTTTCTGCAGGCAAAAACTGGATCTTATTCATCTCTGTAGTCTCATCTCCTAGGGTGTAAGAGATAATCCATATATTTTATTATATTAACTTCTCAAGTGAAGGCACTGCCTGCTTTATTACAATGTCCACTAAAACTCCCTAAGAACAAGCACTGTCTCATATGCTTCTTTTGCACCTGCCCAAAGAGATAGAGAGCTGGGCAAAGGGAATATACTGAATCACCACCCCTTGGGAAGAAGGCTGCGCACCCGTGAACATTCCTGTGTAACTGCTTTCAAGTCTGGGGCAGGAGTGGCTGATGGAGTGTTCTCTCCCCTGCCCAGGAAGCACCCCCAGTTCATGTCGTCTAGCCTTTCTGCTGTTCACATGATTGGTTTCAAGGAGCTCAGATCTGCA